TATAAAAATTTTGAATTGTGACCGTAAAATAATTTGTGACATATGAAAATTGTGATTTGTAACAATTATATGGAATTTGTGATCAAATTATATGAAATTGTGACCTCAATATATTTAATTAATAGGATATATGTTTAACTAATTAATTTATAAATAAATTTAAAAAAACTACCAACTAAGAAACTTTACAATTTAGTCTCTAAACTTTTATATACGTTCAAGTTGATCAATTTGTTCACAGAATCGCTAATACAAAATATAAACGTAACATATTTAATTAATAAAATATATATTTAATTAATTAATTTTTAAATAAAATTTAAAAAACTCTGAAATTTGAAATTTTAAACATAATCTCTTAAATTTGAAATTGGTAAAACTAAACCTCTTAATTATTAAATCTTCCCATTATTCAATTTAGTTAGTTTAAGAGGGCATTGGACCTAATTTACCCTAAATAAATTATGTGGAAATTACATATACACAGATGTTTAAAGTTTCAATTTCAAAAATCAGTTTTAAGGTTTGTTTATACAAAATTCAGATGATAATTTATTTTTTTAATATTAGATGATGATAATAATAATATAAAATTAAATTAATATATCCACTCCCTACCCCCAATCACCCCACCCCCCAAATCGAAATTTCCATCAAACCCTAACACCTCTATTCTCTCTCACCCTCCACCGATAATGATGGACGCTGCGGGGAGAGGACCAGCGCCGCTGCAAGAGAGCGACGTCGACTGCGAGACCTATGCTACCTCGAACTTTGCCCAGGAGGATGGGAGGCAATTTGACATCGTCGCTCACAGGAAGATAGGTCACAGTTTCAATATTACACGACATGAGTGTGGGTTATTTTTACATGGTTGAATCTTTTTGTGGTTTTCGGCGAAAGAGGAGTGCAGTCGCGACCTCTCCCCAGGTAGTAGATGGCGATTTGACAACTCCACTCACTTCAACATCGCAAGGCAAGAAGGTGGGTTGTTTAGACATGGTCAGATTTTTTTTTATGGTTTTCGATGATGGCTCTACTGCTGTGGCGATGGTCTCAGGGGTGATTTTTGTGATTGTTGGTTGGTGGTGGTTTCCAAATGGTGGATATGTGGTTTTTATGGTCTTAGGGGTGATTTTTTCTGGTTGTTGGCGGTGGTGATTTTTGTTGGTGGCGTGGAGCAGGCGCTGTGTTGTTGTTGTTGTCGTCGTGGATCTGTGATTTTAATGGTGGTTGGGTGGTAATGTGGTGGTCGGTGACGGTGGCAGAGATGATGGTAGGGTTGGGGATTTTTTTTGGGTTGTAGGATGGGGGTGGTGAAACAATGGTTGTGGGTGGGTGGTGGGGATCGTGGTGATGTCGGTATTTTTAGATAATGGTTTGTTGTTGGGAGGTGGCGGTGTTTCCGGCGACGAGGTTTGGTTCCCATGTTGTTGGTGGTGGTCACAAGTGCTATTGCTGAACGCAGATTATTTGGTTGTTTGTGATCATTAAATTCATCAATCTGTGATCGATAAATGATATTCAATCAATGAAAACGATAAATAGTGACAAAATTAATGTGTGACCTAAAAAATTATTAATTTATGACCGATAATTTGATAATTTGTGATTGTCTATTAAGTTGTAACTTATAATATTTGTGATTTGTGATCGATAAATAAATTGTGATGTATAAATTTTTTATTTGTGATCGATAAACAAATTGTGACTTATAAATTTTTTGAATTGTGACCTATAATATTTCTGATTTGTGACCATAAAATAATTTATGACATTTTAATTTTTGATCTGTGATCGATGAACAAAAATTTTTTGAATTGTGGTCGTAAAATAATTTGTGACATATAAAATTTGTAATTTGTGACCAATGAATAATATGTGACTTATAAAATTTCTGATTTTCGACCGATGAACAAATTGTGACATAAATTTCTTGAATTGTGACAATAAAATAATTCTTGACGTTTCAATTTTTTATTTATGATCGATGAACAAATTGTGACATACAAAATTTTGGAATTGTGACCATAAAATAATTTGTGACATATAAAATTTGTGATTTGTGACTAATTAATAATATGTGATAAATTATATATTTAATTAATAAAATATATGTTTAATTAATTAATAATATAATTAAAAAATTTTGAAATTTAAAATTTTAAACTTGATGTGTTAAATTTGAAATGGGTAAAACTTAAAACTCTTATTTTTGAATTTTTCCCATAAATTATTTTCTCAAATTTCCATTTCTCAGCAACCCGACACAGAAATACAAGCAAATGGGCCTTACATTTAAATATTTATTGGCCTTCAAGAAAATTAATTTATGGGCTTGGAGCCTTTAGGGCATGAAGCTAATCCATTTTTGTGCTCACGGCAGACTATAAATGAATCGATCTGCTTGGGGCCGAATTTAGGGTTTTGCTGTTGTTCAGCCGTCGACTCTCAGTAATTTCCTCGCTAACGTTTGCGATGGTACGCTCTCTATCCATATACACAGAATATGCGAGAAACAGATTGACTGTTAAATTTTCTTCTTGTTTTGATTTTGTAGATTTTATGTATTTTGATCCTTGTTATATTATTTGTGTTTGTGTGTTGGCGAATGTGTAAAACAAGATCGATTTTAATTTATCTAAAATATGAAGAATTTTTGCGAAATTTGGCGATTATATTGCTTCCTTTGGTGAATTATTTATGTAGTATTTTTTAATTATTATTGAAATTTCTGTATGTTATTTGCTTCGTGTAACACTCGAATATTTTGGAGACTTGAATTACTAGAAACGGATTCACGGAAATGTTGTTAAATATTATTGAATAACTAAAATAATTAGAACAAGGAAGCCAGTAAGTTGCATCTAAAACAAATTCTCATCTTTTTCTTGGTTTGCATTTCAATCTGTTGATGTTATTTATATCTGAAATAAAGAAAATGATTGCTTCAGTAGTTAGCTAATAAGTCAATTGATTTGTAACCTTTTTATTTACGTGGTCATATGATGGAATTTTACTAAATGTCAACTTTTACAGAGCTTGTAGGAGAAACAATTTTTTTGACCTATAGATTGAAATTTAGCTGATGTTGAGGTTCGGTTAATCATGATTTTAATCATTCTTTGATCTGTGCAGGCCAAGAGAACCAAGAAGGTAGGCATTGTTGGGAAATATGGTACGTGCCAACATGATTATTAAATTTTTTTAGTCCTGCCTGTTTTTCTTGTTTTCAGTTCTCCAGTGAAAATGTTTGATTTATAGAAGTATCCCATAGCTTCGGGGATAGAGATGAACAGTCTTTGTGTATGCAATAATGTTTGCTTATTGAAATGAGACAACTAGCATGATAGCATAATTTATTTATTTTCCTGTTGATGAGCACGCTGAGGATTATTTATAGGAAGATTATATGACTTACAAAAAAAAAAAAAACTTAAGTGTGAAACCTACTGTAATTCACCTTTAATTTTGATACGTTGAACAAATAATTGTCTATTAGTATTATTGCGAAGAATCAAATTCAGGTTTATTTGCAGTTGAACGTATTTTACTTGATTGCCAAACAGGCCTTCTTAATCACTTCTGATTTTTCTATTAATATTTCAGGTACTCGTTATGGTGCTAGTTTGAGGAAGCAGATTAAGAAGATGGAAGTCAGTCAACACAGTAAGTATTTCTGTGAGTTCTGCGGAAAGGTATGCTTCTTCGACTTAGGTTTCATATGATATAGTTTGTCAAGTTCAATACAAGTTTTATCTAAATTGACCGGTAACTTTTGCAGTATGCCGTGAAGAGAAAGGCCGTGGGTATTTGGGGGTGCAAGGACTGTGGCAAAGTCAAAGCCGGTGGTGCTTACACATTGAAGTAACTGTTTTCCACATCCCTACTATTCTGTTCTGCATTTTTTTTTTTGGATAATTCTACTTATACATTATGGCATCCATAATGGATGACATAATGTACAAGTAGCACAACACTTTTTTTTTTTTGGGTAAAACATTGACATGCCCTTTCATTTTGGCAGCACTGCTAGTGCTGTGACTGTCAGGAGCACAATCCGGAGGCTGAGGGAGCAGACAGAGAGTTAAATCTAGTGAATTTTGTGTTAGATTTCTGCATTTGTGTTCTTCTCTACTTTTACATTTTGTGTTTTGCAACTTTAGATTCGGTAACTGGCGAGTTTATATGTCTTGAATATCTATTTGATAAATTAAAATTTTCAAACTATCATATGGTGAAGTAACGTGTTGAGATAAAGTTTTCCATGAAATGTTTCAGAACCAGGATTTCATTGAACGTAACACTTTGGGAGTGTTTGACACCCATTTTAATGGGTTGAAAAATTTTGGAATAGTGATTAATGGAAGAATATGTGGTGGAAAAGTGATGAAAAGTTTTAAATTTGCGTGTAATATTATTTTATTTGGAGATTGTGTGGTTGAAATGAAAAAAGAGAATGTGAATGAGAAAAAAATGGGTGCCAAACAGGGGCTATAATCTTTTGTGGACGTAGTTAACAGTGTTTAATCAGCATTGTATGTTATGGATTCAGTGTTTCTGCGATAAATCTCGTGGATACCGAGTTTCTGCAACTTGACTTTAAGTTTCCATTCCTAGTTTGTTACTCAATTTTGGGACCTTTACGAGATTATAGTTTGTTAATCTTGGGATTTTCACGAGATTAAACAGGGTTTGAAAAACTATTAGTGACTCGACTTGCTCATCAGAGTAGCACTCTGTATGCCTTTTGGACAAATACATAAAACATGGGACTTGTCATACGAGCATGGCGATGTTACAAAAACCCTCAAGTATCAGACTGGGATCCTCCCTGAGCGCCATCACTACAGTTTCCTAGTTAAAACTTTTACAAAAATGATAACAAGCTGAAGCAAGAATGAGTTGCCTGAAAATTGAGGTTCTACAACTCTCGTACAGTTCGAGGGGAAAACTCGTCTCATTCATCGGCAACTGGAAAGCTCATCAGATGCAAGAATTTAGAAGACTGAAATTGAAATCTCGTCCCTGTTTCTCCTACTGTGCATTTGCTTTTGCATAGCCTTCGCTGCTGTTACTCGAGCTGCATTAGCTGCCCTGTCAGCTGATGATACTGCCCTGTTTACTCTTTCGTCCACCTTGATAACCTCGTAAGCTTTCTTTGCTGCCCAGCGTGCTTCCTGGAGGTCAAAATAAAAATTAAATTGTCACCTCAAGTAACATGACGTCCAGTAGAACTTAAAATCTCAACATCCCCAAATCTAATGACTTGTCTGCTTGACGAAGAAGGTGATCCCAAGAGAAAGCAACATAAGGCAATGTTCAACTCCCATTGCATCGAAAGATAACCGAAAAATGATAATAGGCTTTAGTAGAACTAAATGTAGGAGTGGAGGAGTCAAAATTTCTCAGGCCTGTCTAGGCAAAAAACGACCCATCCTGACCAATAACTTTAGGTGTGAAAAAATTGATAATAGGCCTCAGTAGAACTATTGTAGTAGTAGAGGCGTCAAAATGTGCGAGGCTCGTCTAGGCTAACACAACCTGGCCTGACCAATAATTTACCTGTACTGCGTTAAGCACTTTGGAGTGGTAGACGCCGACAGGAGATACAGGATAGTTGCTGTTCTGTGTACTCAAAACATCAAGAATCCCATCTTGCCAATGACCAGACTGAGTTTCTCCATTACTGAAAGTGTACGTTCCAAGACCTTGTCTTCGAGCTTCATGCCAAGCTCCTTCATAACTATGGCCATTCGCAAACCTATAGATTCCGAATCCGTGCATCTTGTCAGCAAAATATTCTCCAGCATATACATCCCCGTTTCTGTTAACAACAGAACCATATATTAGAAATCAAATAATTATAGGACGAGTCTATAACAACATTGCAATCATCTAGATACCGTCTTTCATTACTAAAGCACTCAATTCAAGACATCTTGCCCATAGCAGATACTATAATGTTCCATGTCAATGACATATGAGAAATCACAACTAGCTGGTTTCTGTGAAGAATGCATTTCATGCTTGTGCACAATTCAAACAAACTAAGGTGACTTTTATGTTGAAAGTTAGGCTTTGTCTGAACAGCAGGGAAGTTACATGGATAAGTATTTGAGAAAATTACCCAAAACCCTACATCTCAAATATAGAATTCAAAAACAAGGAGGGTGACGTTTAAAATTCACTAATCAAGTGTTAATATAGATTTAATAAATTAGTTAATACATATTTATTATAACAGACAATCCACCCACCCCAAATTTCAATTTCTGACATCTTTCCCCAATTCATTTCTCTCTCTTCAATGTCTGCATCATCTCTTTCCCCAATTCATTCCTCTCTCTTCAATCTCTACATCTTCTCTTTCTTCACTCTACCCTCTCTCTATTAACCATACACCATATCCACCAATGCCCCCTGCCATCGAAGCAGCTCCCTTACGACGGTTTCGCCGCCGCCAAAGTGATCGCTGGAGCTGATGGCCGTCTCCGGTGGAGAGGTGGAGGGAATGTGGTGTGGTAGGGTGATAGGATGTGGTAGGTGAGGTGGCATGGAATAGAAATAATTAATGTATATTATATTATATTTAATATTTAATAAATTTATTTACCACTTGATTTTTGAAATATTTTAATGAGTTTGTTATTTATGAAATGTAATCTTTAAAATTAGGAGTTATGTATTGTTCCCTAAGTATTTTCTAGGAAATGTGTACAAGTCCAATGAAAGTTGAAAGAATTCGTGTAGGTCTGTAATATCTCTCATTTTTGGTAGGAGACAGAATGCACGAAAACTTTTCCAGAAGAACGTTTCCCACAAACTTATATTGACAGGAAGTCCCCCTAGAAGGGTGTTCTAAATCCGAAACACATGAAATATATAGGAAATGTCGTAAGAGTACCTATACTGCTATCCAGATGCAGGGGAGTTGACAATGCTAAAATCCTGAGTACTGAACAGTGAAGATTCGATAATGATATGCCATTCAAGGACAAGCAAAAGCTTTTGATAGGAATTCTTTTTAGCATTCCCAATTTGAAATATAATCCAACTAACAATTGGATAAATTCACACCAAACAATAATAGAACAGTTATGTTCAAATTTTACCTGTAATGGTTGTGTCCAAGGCCATGTTTAACCCCCCACTTGAATTCCCCCATATATCGACTTCCATCCTCGCAAGTATGAATACCACATCCATGGCTCTGTCCATTAGACCACTCCCCTGCATAAACATCCCCTGTGTAGAACCTGTACACCCCAAAACCATGCCTGAGACCCTGCCTATACTGCCCTTTATACCGGCTACCCCTTGACCATGTCTCGACCCCAAATCCATCATATTTCCCCTCTACCCAATCCCCCTCATACCTACCACTCATGAAATAATAATACACACCACTTCCACTACACAGTCCCTCATGGAACTCACCCTCGTATACATCTCCATTGCTATAAGCTTGCACAAAACACCCTGAAATGGCCTTTTTATTGGCATTTTGGCGTGATCCAATTGACCAAAACACAGGGAAATGTGGCCCTTTCACTTGGTCCTTTCCTTTAATTATAATAGGGAATGACCTTGCCAAGAACAGCCTTATCGTGGGGAGCCTAGGAATGGCTAATTTAAGGGAGAATAGGAGCACGGAGGAGAAGGCAAACGCATAGACGAAATCAAGAATGAAGGAGTGTGAAGGCTGAGAGACGAGGAAGTACAGAAAGGGTAAGGCAAATAGCAGAATAAGGCGGAGGCGGAGGCGGAGGCGGAGGCGGCCGAGGTGGTGGTGAAAATGAGCCAAGAATTTCTGAGATTTGGTGTATAAAAGATTAAATTTTGATGGCAAATTTTGAGCAGCAAACAACCCATATCTGTGAAATGCATTAGACAAACTCGAAGCTTTAGTAATAAAATTTGAAAATGGCTGAATATTATTAAACGGGCAATTTTCCTCCTGAAGCTTTTCATTGTCAATCAGAATTTGAAGAGTGGTGGAGGCGCTATTCTTCGACGGCGGCTCGTGGTGGAGAGTTGGCCGGAAATTCTGAGAAAGAGAAGGGTGTTTTTGAGTAAGAGAAGGTGGGGTGAGGTTGAAATCGGAAGAGATGCCACATTCTGATGCATTACATACGTAAAACCAAAAATCAATAAACATCAAATTCAAAACCAGAAATTTCACAACTTTCTTGAAATGGGGCGACGATGATGATAATGAATGTGTATACTTATCTGTATATGTATATATATATAAAGAGAGAGAGAAAATAGTGAGATATAGAGTGAGAAAGAGAGAGCGAATAGTGCGAGAAGTTCATGGTTGATGAAGAAGGATTACTATGAAACCAGAGGGCGATCGGGCTTAGCACCGCCCATGGACTTAACACTATTGGATGGAATATTCTTCTTGTTGCTCTCATTTTTTGGGCTTTGTTGGTTTGATTTCAAACCTACATTTTTTTTTCTTTAAAAATTACTTCATTTAAAACTTTTCAGATTGTTGTTTTATCCGGAATCATTTTATTTCAATAAAGAAGATTGGAACCAATGGCTCAAGTGAACAAGAACATGATCACTCCAAAATTGCTTTAATTCGACTAAGTACCTATTTTACTTGGTAGAACCAATGGTTCCACATTCACGATTCTCAATGAAAATTGAATCGGTCTGATTCTCAAGATACACAGATCAAATTACCTAAAGCTCACCTCTAGTTAGATAATAAACGAGTTACTTATTATCTTTATCCAATGGAAAAATATTTATTTCAAAACTCTCTTGAATGAGTTTAAGCTTAGCATTGTACTTGCTCTCTCATTTAGTGAGATAAATGAAATTATCCTTCTCATGACACTTGGAAAAAGGTCCTTTCAAACTCCTATTACTGTTGTTCTATGATCAACGCATTAGAATGCACTCCTTCTTGAACAGGACCGGAGTGGGCAACTTCTTTAATTCGACCGTGGCAGGGTCTCTTGAGCCGCATTCGAGGACAAGGAAGCTACTTAAAGCTTTTGAGACTTCTTTCTCGGCATTAACGACGACAAAAACATTCTCCGAGGCCAAAAGTGGTGCTAAATGAAAATTCAAAAGAAGGGTTTCGAAAGGGACATTAAAAATTTGAAGTCGTTGAACCATTGGGAGAATGGATCCACCTAGTCATTTGATTTCATTTTCAATTGGGGAAATGAAGATAGACACAATTAAGTCACTATCAAGTCACTATCTAATCATGTAGATTATCTCAACTGATATGACATTTGATCTTAATACATCCATGGACTAAGATGATAAAGCCATCAAATTAATGGTCCTTATCATCTCATAATGCAATATGACAAGAACACTGTGAGAAAGAGGACAAATTATAAGGGTATTTTGCTTCACCCCAAAACACGCTAGAAATCCCCCATTCTTTGAGGGCACAGAGAATCCTCGAATGAAGTTGGAGGTCGACAAATGACATTTTCATGAACTAAAAAAGGAATAAACTCGACATTGAACCATCTTGTCTAAAAGTTTAAAGATTACATCCAGAGAAACCATTCTACGGAGAGGAATGAAACTCTGACCCTCAGTTTTATCTGGATGGCTGCTCCATAGCAAAATATAGCAAGAACAAGTATGCACACATGAATTGAATAACACAGATTGTCAGCAACAGTAGAAATCATTTCACACAATTTTCACCCAGGAAAACAAATATGCTGCTTACATAAGCTCTGTTAAATCCATATGGACATAATGTCAAATGAGTGATCATTCTCTAAACAGATGGGCCAGAATCGCATTTCTTCAATCAATGAAAGGACATTAAGTGCATTGCTTAATGTGGTTCAAGTTCATCATCTTGCACATTAAGGCAGGCAGAGGGAACTATTTCCTGGCACCAGGATCGAGATCTCAATGTCGTGTCTTAAGGCTTGTGGAGCTTGAAACCAAACACTCTTGGTGTGTAGCTTTGTGTTGGCTTTTGTGGCTTGAGGTTTCCGTAAGTCATCAAGAAGAGATGAGGAAAAGTGGTTCCAAAATAAGCACCGTCGGTATCTTTGGCTGTTAAAGAGATCTTTGCAACAGAAAGTATGTAAAATTTACAGCAAAATGGTATCATGCCTAGGATAAATGACCAAAAAGAAAGATAATTATACAAAAACAAAATAAAAATCTAAAACTCCCACACTTAATCCTTCAAACTGAATTCAGGCATTTACCAAAAAACCATTTAACATGGACGTCTCCTGCGCAGGGTACGGAGCCCTACAACGCCACCCAAAAGAACCCCTTCTCAGGTTCTTGAACTTGTCCACCTTCTCTCTTATTCATGGATATGGACTTTGGTTAATACTCATACTCAATCCAGGTCTTGGGCTGTTAAAAGTTCTAGATCTGTAATGTAGTGGAAATGAAAATACAACGGATGTGTTGTCATCTAGATGTATAAGATAAGAAATGAGATTATGCACCTACTTAAAAAGGCTCTGTTCTTACAAGTAATACAGTTCAAGCACAAGTAGTTAAAAGTGGAACGGGCAAGGCCTGTTGTAATCGCTAAATGCTAAGGTTATTTACTTTAGATCTCAAGTTAATTTTGCAATTAATAGAGCTAAATCGAAAAACAATTCATTTAGACGACCTCAAATTTTGAGGGGAATAAGGCTTAGTATGTTGTCATCATTGTTGATGATGCATGCATGTGTGCGAGATGTGCACAAACACAATCTAAATTGGAAGGATAAAAGCCTAAAAAAGCTAGTAACCAAAGGATACTGCCTTGGTACTTGGATCGCGGGTAGTAAATATCTTCACATTTGGGACAGTATATCTTTACAGTACTTGAACGTGGAATATCTGATTGTCCAACTGGAAGGCAAGGCTGTCCACAGCAATAAACTCTCGGGCATCTTCCAAAGTCATAGTTTTTGTACTTCTCTAACTGTGAAATTCCATCTCAACAAACTACATAAGACAGCAGGAATGAAGAGTGAGACCAGATATGAAAATAATCTCTCATAAAATTACCATGGCAGCCATTCCCTTGCTTGTCAAAATGTATCGGACATGAATAAGACCATACAACATCTCTGCTGCTGATTCAACCAATTCATTCTGTTCCTCAGTTAAAGTATCACCTATTCAAGGCCATAAAAGAAGAAAAATATTATCAAACAAAGAACAACCAATGATGATCAAGTAAATTGTATTAAGAAGGTTACGTAAGATTGTAACAGGAAGAAAGCTATCCAAGGTGTCAAAACAAAATACTCACGAGGCAGTTGCCTCGTGTAAGCAAGATCAATGTCTATATACATGTTCTTGCATCATTGGTTTTGCATCAAAGGTTCTCTATTCTTCACAATTATAGTAGAATTATAGAAAGAAGAAGTATAGAATGCGAAAAGTGACTCAAGTTATTTGATAACAGAACACGAAATTTCATTTCTTTTTATCTATCATATTATTTCTAAAGAAAAGCTGAATGTTATTCTAGCATAATTAGCACTCAGATAAAGTATTAAAGCAACTAATATAAGGTGGTAATTGCTTATATGAGGTTTAATGCTCCCATAGCTCCCATAACTAAGCCAAGAATGTCTTTTGACGCTGTCATAGTTATTTAACACAAATAAGCAACTGGAAATCTAGTGGCATAGAGGTGTTTATACCATGGTTGAGATAATGGCAAGGATGAAACCTGCTGAACATTATAGTCAACTAAGGAGGAATGAGATTGTCTGTTGAAACGAACTGATACCATAAAAAAACAGAGATTGCAAGCAGATTCAACTTTGATAGTCAGCATGCCAAAAGGAAATCACTAGAGAAATATTTGATAGCATTGCATGAGAGGCTTGTAACATAGCTGTATTTGATGAATCTCCAGATTACTTGGGCATTTTCCTAGATGATAATTCAATTTTATCCAGGTATATATCCAAATTTCCTCTGCAAAAATTGATGGTTTCTAGAGCTCATATAAAGAAACCAAGGTAATGCCGGTTATTGGGGCATGTCAGAATTCCGATCACAATGACCAAAGTTCTTTCATATGTTTAAACAGCACATAGCCTAAATTTGAGGCAGGTTAGAACACCATATGTGAACCATGAACGCAATTTGCATGCATATTCAAGCAACCATTCTTTCAAAACTTTTTTTTCTACATATTCACTTTCAACCACACATTCACACAATAAAATATTCTACACGTAAATCCAAAACTTTTCTCTACTTCTTAACTATACATTCTACAAAAAATCACTATTCAAAACAATGTTTTTCCAAAAAATAGGCCACCAAACAGGGGCTAAGTCTGGCTCAAGTGGGCTACAGAACTTTTACATACTATTAAGATGCCATATACAAATAAAAGCTAAAAGGTACTATTTTTTAAGGGGGAAGGTGATATAAAGTGCTTAAAGGAGGATACTGGATTCTTTAATTGGTAATGATCAATTCTTTTATTTGACTGACCTAAAGACCCTTTACCTATTAACGCTTTCCTTCCATCAATGGCCAAACAGACCATATTGGAAGAACAAATCTACACAAAGGGACAACCTTTTTTACATCAAAACCCTCCATTTCATGCAAAAGAAAGCATGTCTAAATCCAATGCCAGAAATACCCCCTCTCCTATTACTTTTATTCCTCTTCTATCTTCACAATCAGCCAACTTCTTTCTCAAGTATTATAAGAAATTAACTTAGTCTTCAACTTCATTTTCTTTCTTTGGTTCCACCAAAACTTTTTAAACCAGAAACAATGTACTTTTCAACTTTCATGTACATCCAAACACCTCCTCTCAAGACAACCTCCAACCAAGTACATACTTATAACAAGAAAAGAATCCATGTTAATATAGAGATTTGCCAGTAACTTAGACAGTTAGTTTCTTAGAAAAAAGGGTAAATATTAACATTCTTAGCCCAAAATTTAAGCTATACAACAAACCATGAGCCCTATGATTTATTAGTTGCAGTCATAAAGAATTGACTCTTTCCTTCTTAATTAAAATTAAAAGACAGAAACTGATACTTGAAGTTGCTAAGAAAAGCATGTCGGTTTAAACCAATATCAAAACATAATCATAATTCTAAAAGCACAATCTACTCAACAATTTTCTTTTAAGCATGCAAACAAAAAGATAACCATACAAACTCGAATTCTTACCATGAGAGGAGTCGACATCCAAAATCAAATCAAGTGCATAATCATAGTATGGAACTTGACTGCTCAACCCACAAAGGTTAAAATCATCTTCGATATATTCATCATCAACTTCACAAAAAAACTCGTTTCCTCGTAAGTTGCAAAACCACGAAATCCAGAATGTATCATTCCCATCAGAACCACTAACATCGGACTCCCCACTGTCAGTTTCGGATTCCTCTGCAAAAAGAGCAACCATGAGCATTATAATCATACATTTCTGATTGACCAATACAGAAGTGTATACATATTGCACAACATCCAAGTACAAACAGATATATGCTTGTATATCCCGACTTTCTTTCCCATAAATATCCCTCAATATGAACGAAGGCTTAATTTTTGCCATCATATTCCTCAAAATCTATTCCTAATTATCCTTCCATAATCTCAATTCTTTTTTTCATAGAAATTTAAAAAGGCTCTCAATCAAAATCAAGAAGCAAAGAAACTTGCCGAGATACAATGTATGCATGTTTAGGCACCTCGCCCAGATTTGCCAAACTCTAAAGAACTTCACACAACAATACGCACATTTTACTCAAAACTTAACAGGTTCGAAAATGGATATTTTCTGAAATTTATTCAAAAATATATTCAATTAAAGAATAATATCAAACTACCCACTCACGAAAAAAAAAAAAGAGAGAAAAAAAGAAAACAGAATTTACACATAAAAAAGAATGTCTCCAAAGACTGATCCGAAAACCGCAACTTCCAACCAAAACCATACCCTCCATTTCTAATTTTCTTTCAAGAAGTTATTAAAAACTAGCCAAAAAAAATCACCAAACCCAAAAAATACACTCTAAAAAACCAACGATAACATACCATCAGTGCTCCTATTCTTGTTAGCGGTGGAAGACGATCGGGTATCACGGTGGTCGAGATAATTGTGCTGCTTTCCGGCGGCGGCGGCGGCGGCGGCTGGCTTCTTGGAGGTGGAAGGGGAAGACTTCTCCAAACGCTTGTCTAACGCATCATTGATTCGCTTCCGATCCAAAATCCCTCCACGCCCCTTCAATGAACCCCCACCCCCTCCTCCTCCGTACATATTTCTATATATGTATATAACAACCTCTGCCTGTCTTTATCTATATGTGTATATATAGGTAAAAACGTGTATCTGTGTTTATTGGTGTATGTACTGTATTTTCAAATTACAGATCGAAGAAGACTGTATTTATACGGTATGTATACCGCAATAAGACGGGGTTTCTTTCTACTGTGATCATATTTTGAGTGAGTTTGGTGGAGATTTTTAGGGGAAAAATAGATTTTTGAATGGTGATATGATGGAAAATGTGTGGTTGAAAAAGAAGAAAAAAGTATTGATGTGATGGAAAATATTATTTTATTGAAGAATGTGTGATTGAAAATGAGAATTGATTTACTGTAGAAAATAAAAATCTGTACCAAACAGGGCCTTTATACGTTTAGTAGGTGCAAGTAACGTGCAATACACGTTTGCTTAGTTTATATTTAATATTTTTGTTTAATAATTAATTT